GTCATGGAGGAGTTCCATTCATGCTAATGCCGTGCGTTTTCCTTGTCATGTAGCATGTTAGAGTTTTTGTTCCATTTCATGTGCAAGAGCCGTGTGTTTAAGTGTGTGCATTGGAGTGTGTTCGGTCCAAATTCATTTGATATTGCCGTGAGCTATTTCTCGATTTTAAAAAAATATTATAATAGGGCCCGCATACCCTAATTCCTAAATAGAAAAAACCGACATACTCGCAAACCGACATACTCGCAATGTCAGCTATTTAAATCCACCCACGATTTCACCCAAATTCCTGAAAAGAAAAAACAAAAATCGCTAACCCTAATTTCTCAGTGAATTCCTCCATGGCCAACGTTGAAGAGCAAGTTGTCCCGATCGAGACCGCCGAGGATCCGGCGACCAAGGAGGCGCCGGAAGCGAAGGCGAAGAAACATCCTGCTCGGAAGAAGCGCACCGCCCCCACACACCCTCCGTTCTTCGAGGTATTGATTGATCAATCGGCGATTAAATCTGTGATTTTGTACCTCTTCTTTTTTTTTTTTTTTTTGTTCTGGTTTTTTGATTTCTTGAGGTTGGATCTGAAGTTTCCGGTGGATTTTGCAGATGATTAAGGATGCGATCGTGACGCTTAAGGACCGGACTGGTTCCAGCCAGCCCGCCATCGCGAAGTTCATCGAGGACAAACAGAAGAACCTGCCGGCCAATTTCGGGAAAGTCCTGCTCCTTCAGCTGAAGAAGCTCGTGGCCAACGACAAACTCGTGAAGGTAAAGTGCTCCTTCAAGCTTCCGGCCGCTCGCCCGGCCAAGCCATCCTCGCTGGCGAAGAAAAATATGAAGTCTGATACCGGCGCCAAGGAGAAGAAGGCAGCTGTCTTCAAACCCAAGCCGAAAGCGAAACCCAAAGCTAAGCCGGTTGCGAAGGCCAAGGCCGTGACAAAGAGGAAGGCGCCGGTAAGCAAGAAGGCTGAGAAGAAGCCACCGGTCATGGCGGCGAAGACGTCAACTAAGTCGACTAACGTTGTGCCTCTGCCAAACTATCAAGCTGTAAGAATTATACAGTAATATTTTTTATTACAAACAAAATACGAAATCAATTAAATAACAAAAGACATATAAATGATTAATGTATAATATAATACATACCCAAAAAAAAAAAAAAAGTCTTGGTCAATTGTCCAACATAAATTCATTCATAGCAAATCAATTTTTTTTTTCTTTTATATATTTTTGAAAATTCATATTGTCCATCGAAATTGTTGCAAGTCCTTTTAATGTAATATTCTTCATTTGGATAATTAGTAACCAGAATATGTAATCAATTTGCACCTTATAAATTATTTATCCGTGATTAATTAATTATCTCTTTTCTTTTTTATAATCATTCATCATTTAATTCAATTATCTGTATATTTCTTAAATATTCACAGGAAACTCTCCGACTGCAAATGGAAGATTTGTAAGTGACAATTCTTTTCTTTTTTTTTTCTAATCAGTTGTTATCCTCTGCAGAAGTGTATATTACTATAAATGACATGATCATTTGTTTGCTGTAGTAAGCGCAGGATGTTTAATGTCAGAGAGTTATGGGATATGGATTCGATGTCAGCTCCTGTAGACCCGAATGACCCTCTTATGGGCCCTCTTCTGGCCAGATATTCGAACGAGAATGTAGCCCGATCTGCATTGCAACACTACAACAATAAACATGTTAATGTTCTATCTTATCCATATAAATTTTACTTTTTTTTTTTATCTTGTGGTCATTCGTAGTATGATGCAGTGCTTTTGTATGTTTAATTCGGAATTTCTAACAGGGAACTTGTTTGGAGTTTGTGAGGTGTCTGGACGAGAAAGTAGAAGAATTGGAGGGACCTGGGTTTGGAAGGTGCTTTATAGATATTGATGATCTTTGGAGGCATTTCAACTTTGAGGCCAGGCGGCCGGATGCTGGTCCCAACGATGAACCACTTCTTTTGTTTGCCGAAGTACGTTCAAGTACAGAAGGGTTTGAGCTCACCACATTATCACTCGTGGGACCTACAGATGGAGGTATTCTGCTTTTCTAATCATGTTGAAGTAAATTTTACTTTTTCAATGATTGTTTAATCTCTGATAGAGAAACATCTTTGTACTTAGTTGCATATCTTAAAATATTACAAATTCTCATGTAATATCCTGTTTTATTAACTGTAACAGTTTAGTACTGTGATCCCTTTCTAGTTTGTGTGAGGCAGAAAAAAGGCTCCACTCACTTTGTTTGAAATGATTGTTGTATTGATGAAATTATTGTTGTATTGTTATTACTATCAACATTTTTTAATTTCATTGATTGATACAGTGTATGGTTGCCGGCATTGTCTTTCTTCCATAAATCACCCGCGACGTGGATTTCGTGCTGGTTTTGACGCTACGTAATCTCTCCTCTCTGTCCTCTAATATATATTATTATTTTTGGCTATGTAAAAATGAGCAAGTAATAACTAAATTGATTTTTCACAATTCAGAGTGGATAGCAATCCTAAGTTACTGCCTGCAGATGCTGCTGCTAAATTGGCTGAATTTGCTTTACAGGATTATATTGCGAAACAAGTATTTGGTTTCATCTCAAACCTTTTTCTATTTTTTCGTCTTTCTACCACTGGTCCTTTCCTAATCTATCATTTTGTTTTTATTTTATTGAAAAACAAAAGACCAAGGAAATAAGCTTGAAGTTTGAAAGGGCTATTGAAGGCAATGGTTTTACGAGCACAGGTGTATTGATGGACTTCACTGAAAAGAGGACACATTGGGTGCATTTGAACTTTGAGGCAAGGGTGGACCCCAAGGAGGACGAAGTGCTCCTTTTTTTTGCCGAACTCTATTTAGAGGATGGCAGTGATGATAAGTATGTGCTTGCTACATTATCACCCGCTGAGGCCACTTGGATGCAGAATTGGATGCAGGAGGAGGAGGTGGACATAGGTAAGAAATGTTTCTGTAAATCATTGGTCGATGATTAAATACCAGTTTCGCAAGCTCGTTCTATTTTTGTTCAACATGATTTATTAATCATGTCGTTTGTTGTGGATGGTTCTAATTAGTTAGCACATTTGGTTTGGTACACATACAGATCGTGGATGTCCCTGCTGCCCGAAAAACATTTATCATCCTTGGCGTAACTTTCGGTATGCTTTCAATAATTGGCCATACCCATTCTCAGCCAATCGGAAAAACCTGGTGAGAGAGATGCTCAAATGAGCATCTTATGACTATTTATTCCATGGTGCGGGATAAACTTGGGAACAATCTTTGTTTGCTTTCTTCATGGTCATTTGAATTTGAAGGGGTAATTTGTTTTGTGTTTGTTGTTGCTATGCTTGGAAACAATCTTTCTTTGTGATCATGAATTTAAATCTTAGCCACACATTATGTATCAAATCTTGTGTCTAGAAATGAGTCTCACGTCCTCACTTTAAGAATGTGGATGCATTGGAACCAATTCATATATATATGTAGGGGTTGGTTCAAATAAAAACTTGATCTGGTGTGAGAACCGTGAGAACCATATTTGATGCTATCTTTCATTGTGTATGATGCTATTTTTAATATTGCATGGTGCTATTATTTTCACAAATGCTAATAAAAATTTTATTGCTACTTTTAGTAAAATGCATCATAGTTAAAAATAGCATTAAAACACAACCAATTATAGCACCACATGCAATTAAAAATAGCGGTTCTCACGGTTCTCACTCTAAGATTTGGTTTGCAGCAAAACAATTAATAAAACCTTATTTATTTTCCATTCAAAATAAATTATAAAAACATGTTTACATTATTATTATTATTTAATTAAAACCTTAAACAACTCCCTAATTAATGAATATTTAATCTCTCTCTCTATATATATATAATTGTTAACAAAAAAAATAATAAAACTATATGAATTTTCACATTTTTTTGTTACATCCTAATATATATACTTTTTTAAATGTGTAAATATTAGTTTGGCATCGTCCGAAAAACCGTAGTGTTTTCTAGAAGATTTGTTAAGAAAGAAAAATAAATTAAATGGAAGTTTTTCTATTTATTTACTTGTGATTTAATAAAGTTCTTAATGTTTATTATTAATAATATATGGTATATATTCATTGTGATATGTATTATGAAATCCTAATCCTTTAGGAGAAGGATTGCATAATATATCTTATATATTTATTTACCATATATGTCACATGCCATAATTAGTTCTCTCTTTCTTGTAGGACAATGAATAGATGGCAAGGACTATGAAAGGATGAACTATCCATACAAGAAGAGTTTTGGACGTTCATGAGAAGATCTACGGAGGATTTGAAAAGAATCACCACAAAATCTTTGAAGATTTGGAAGATCGGCAATTTTTAGAAAGTCATGTTCTTACCCGATTCTGGGAACCAAGATTTCTATTGGAAGCTCAATTCTAAAGATCTTCAAATCACATACACGAATTCTACGTCAAAGAAACTTACTTTACATGAAGGATTTCGTCCAATCAGAAAATAATCAATTGAGAAGGAAATTGACTCCTAAAAGGAAAAGGAAGAACCTGTGAAGACTCCTTACCTTAAGGAGATTGTATATAAGCCTACTCAAATAATCAATTGAAGACAAGAGAGCTGCTGCATATCGAGTTCATCATTCATTAGCTTCAAATGAGTGTTTGAGAGATTTCTTTTGTTTTTTTTATCCGATCCAGTTTTTCAGCGTTATTACATTGCTGAAGAACTGAATTCGTTTTGTTTATTTTCATTTGAAAACACTTTATTTTAGTGCTTAGGGATTAAGTACTGAGTTCGCTCGAGGGATTCGAGAGATAAAAGTTCACGGGACGTGGCCGAAGAAGTAAATGATAGGATCGTGTGTAGTTGTGGCTAGACTAGAAAGGAGTTCAAGTCGTGTAAGTCCAAACTATACAAGTGTAAACGGTTTATTAATGAAAGAGCTCTGAGGGAAAGTGGGTCGCTTCCCTGAAGAGTTTTTACATCTTCGGTTTATTGCTTCCTCTATTTACATTGTTATTCTCACGTTCTTACATCGTTTTGCACACTCGCGAAGAAAAATATACATTTCAAAATGAAACTAAAACTTAATCAATGAATTTTTAACAATGATCAATTAAAGTAATCATATTCTTAATTATTTAATTATATAATAGTTATTACTAAAACTAACCAATTATAATTTACACTAAATGATATATAGAAGTTCAATAATATAAAATGTTATATTGCAAAATAAAAATTCTTAAACCATTTATTTCTCTTAAGCATTTTTTTAATAAGTTATATGGTTTTAGTGGTATAACCAAACCTCTTAAAATTTCATAATAATAAGAATAATAATTTTAAAAATAACTAACAAGTCGGGTTATGTGAAACTTATAAGAACTCCATTATCAGTTTCATTTTATGCAATCGATATAGTGATAAAATTAAATATTTTAGAATGTTTATTTTTACTAATGATAAATTTTTTAAATGTGATACTATTAGAGAGAGAAAAAAAATTTGGAGAGAAAATGATTAACATGATGTTAAGTGTGTTGGCCGAGAGAAAGGAGTCATCCTCCACCTTCGAGAGAAGGAGTCATCCTCCACCTCCATCAATATTCGTATATATAAACCAACTCAAGCCGTGAGTTTCCTATGTATTTTCATGCAAGAAACCGAGACTTATATCAGCTAAAAACCGAGTGAAAATAGTGAGGAAATAATAAAATAAAAATCATAGAAAAATTGCTAAGAATAGCCGAGGATAAGGAGAAGCAAGCATACACGCATTCGAGCACCGAACGAGCACGCAAGCCTAATGTTGTGTGTGATTGGAGGTTTGAACTGAAGTTACCTCCCCAAGTGTTCACCGCAATTCCCGTCTCTATAAATCAGATGTTCAGGGGAAAGTATAGCTTATTTTACTAAGCTATACACTCAGCAAACATTAGGCTAAATTATGGTCTAATCGCACAAGCAAAGCACATGCACACGACCGATGCTTCCGCAGGCATTCAGAGCCGAGGAAATCACGCACAACTTGTGAAATTCTCCAATCACTTGGGAGGTAACTTCAGTTCCAACCTCCTTTCATGTTAATTAAGTTAATTACTATTACCTAATTTATAGTTTTATTATTACCTAATTTATAGTTTTATTATTATATTCATACATATAACTTATAACAATTTAAACATCTGTACATGTGCACATGATCGAATACTGGCCCGCCCGCCCGCCTAAACGGACGGGCTTGGGCCTTTGTTTGGCCAGCCCGTTCAATCGCGGGCCTATTTGGCCTGCCCCGTTTGGCCCGCGGGCTGGCGCGGGCCGGGGCGGGCCCTGGCTTGTGGATTAACGGTTCTGACAGAGGACTCCTCCTCATCTACCCTCCTGTTCTGCCTTTCATGTGATTGTGCCTGTTGTTCGCGTTCAGGGGGTTGCTGCTCATTTTGAGGTTGTTCGATCCTAGCTTGCTCGATTCGGGGTTGCTCCACCCTGGGTTGCTCGACTGGTGTTTGTTTGATTTGGGCAGCTACAACTTCGGCAATCATCCTCTGCATCTCGCCCCGTGTTATGGTCAGCATTTGCTCCTCGCTTTGGGGCAGCGGTCTCTTTCCTGGCTCGAGCGGTCCAGGCTGCTTTCCCAAACTTAGGAGCGTCTCGGTTGACTCACGACCGTTGACTTCTCCGCTCGTGTTCCTCACGTGACTGGTCTCCCCTTGAGTGAGCACTGGGATCTTGACTCCTGGTGGGGTGATAGGCGTTTCTTCCCCCATACGCCCTCCTGATGGCGCGTGCGCCCCAAACGGTGGGAAACCGAACACTTGGAGCGGTGGTCTGGGGTTGGGAATCGGCGGAGGTCGCTTGTCAGTCCATGCCGCCCTGAAATCTTCGTTCAAGTTTTTCTGCGGTCCTTCCTTGTCAGCCATCGAAAACAGATCCAAACTAGGTGTAAAGCTCTTACTTCCTTCAAGAACTCCCCACAGACGGCGCCAAATGATGGGTCTCTTCCCAGATCTGGAGCGGCCCAATGGGAAAACGTTCGGATCTGGGATGAACCGGTGTGAATGAGCTCAGATCTGATTTGATGGCCTTCGAACCGTTGTTGAGCCGCAAGAACACCTGCAAGAACTCAACGCCGGAGGGGTTTCTGGCGTAGAGCCTCCGATGCTCAAGTCAGTATGTGAAAGAGATGAAGATAGCTGCCTAGAGAGAGCAGCAACAGCAATGGAGAAGAAATGTAGAATGAATGGGAGTTAGGGTTTTGGGATTACCTCAGTCCTTTATATAGAAGTGCAACATTTACCTGAAGTCCCCAAAGTGCCCCGGCCGACTTAATGGAAATGTCCAAAATACCCTGGTCGGTTCGTATTCTGCCCACTTCCTAGTCAGCATCTAGATCCTTCCTTAGCTTTCTTCTTATCCTTAACTTTCCCTTAATACGCTGAGGTGTATCAAAGCTGTCGAGAACTATGAACTGCATGATCCCTTCAGTCGGCTTGAGATATAGACTCGAGTCGACTGGATCGTATTCAATCACTAGTGGATCCTGATACGTCTGACCATCGTCTTGGCAGAAGTCGACTTATGTTAGTCGACATGTGTACGTCGACTCAGACGAGAGCCGGGATCCTTGACCGTGAGTATCGTGAAGAGCCTTATTGGAAGAGTCGACTTTGTTAAAGTCGACTTGATAATTTCTAGATCGTGATGATACGGACCGTTATGAGCCAGTGTGGCTATATCAGCTTGTTTTATTTTTCTTTGGGGATGGTTTATTCCCTGTGTGGTTGGTTGGTTTAAACAATTTTATTTTGCCTGAATGGTTATATGTTTTGGGGCCCGGGGATGGTTTATTCCCCGGTTCGTGCCCTTTTAGTGAACTTATCGCAATTTCAGCTCCTTTAACGCTTGTGAATGTGTTTACTTTGCGGTTTTTTGGTTGAT